CGCCTAACAGACCGGATCACATCGATTTTACTAACGTAACCTAAAAAGAGAAGACAAAACCTATATGCATTAGTTTACTTGAAATTGTAGCCAAGGTTTTAATTGGACTGCTTTGCAGAAACAAGACATGCGCAGCCGCATGTGTTGGTTGCGTCGACCATGCATTCATTTTACCTCACACCTTAGAACATTGCCAGAAAGTTTAAACTCACAGTAATCTACCTCACAGATTTTTGTGTAGCATTCCAGTCCGCAGATCGCCAAACCCTCTGAAAAATACTACTGGCCGATAGTGTACCCGTTAAACAGGTGAACCTCGTGAGATCNCTCCAAAACTACGGCCCGAATCCTGATCTACGCCAAGCGGTCGCTTACGTTGGAGTTAACATCTAGAATACGACAGGTGTCCCCAATGATGTTCAACTTAACAGCTGGCCGGACAATGGGTCTTTCCAAGGAAGAAAATAGGGGAGTTTAGATCTCTCAAAAGTTTGTTTTCACCGATTTGGATTTCTCTGATGATATCGTCATCTGTGATGAAAACATGTTCAACATCCGAATCAGTCAACAGACCTTCGAGATCGATCTGCAGGTGAATACATCCAAAACCAAAATGTTTACCAACAGTCTTAACTCATTTCGAAGGCAATTTACAACCAAGCAGTGAGCCGATCGACTCAGTCGAAAGCTTTAAATACATGGCTTCAACGATGCCGCCAAGCTGTGCATTGATGATACTAGGAAAGCGATTCTACAGCTGAAAAATCCCATATGGTCTAAAACTGAACTCAGCCTAGGAACAAACATATGAGACTTCTCCGTATCAGTCCGTTCTATCTTGCTGTACGACTGCGAAATCTGACCACTTAGTCGAGAACTGTTGATGACCACTAGAACTATTCTGGGATTAAGATAGAGAGATCAGATCCCAAATAAAGTGACCAGAAACTGGTGTTTAATCTTATACGGCTGAATATGCTCACACCGTGGTGACGACTGCAATGGTTTGGTCACATAATTTGTGAAGCAGATAACGACCTGACCAAAGTCGCTTTGGCACCGTCTCCCTGTCGACGGGATGAACAGCAGAAAACCTCCCGAGACACGGTACGCAAAGAACAACTCGGTCTCCGATTCGTCTACAGCAATCGCCAATAAAAGTCAGACTGGATCACAATCTGCGCAGATCTTACCACCGACCGTCCGGCGTGGGCAGCTATAACCCGGGAAATCCATGCAGCCGGCTAATCCTCTCCCAGGAGTCGGCCACCGTAAAATCAAGTAATTCAGCTCGGTCAGAAACAAAAATTACTTTTATTGCTTTTACATACGCCTGAGGTCAGACTGTGGCAAACAAATCACGGTACAATAATCTTTATAAAAGGAAAAACGAAATTATTAACTATAAACAAACAAAGAACGAACAATTACCGCTTCATCATCCAAAGTGAATACACAGTGCTCTGGCAACCTTGGTTAGGATCACACCTTTATAAACCACCATGGTGATTTTGGGAAGTGTATCAGTTCTTCGTAAGTTTCTCTGCAATGGGTTCACTGGATGTCTTTTCGTAAGGATTCGTAAAATGGATGATAATCAGGGCTTTTTCACAGACAGATGTGCAGTGCTCCAAGAAACAATTAGGCACATTCGAGAAGTCTAAGTTAATTCGATACATGAGCACAGTCACTAACGAGCGTCGTATTTGACCGCTGGCAAAGCGTGGTGGAACTGGTTGCTTTCATTGATCAACAATACCTGTCAAAACCATGAAACCCGATGGAAATGTGAATAGAATTGATAATAAGTTCAAAATCAAATTATATTCTCAAACACCTTTAATGTGAGTTGATGAAAAATTCCACAAAACCAAAAGTAGTGACACAGAGAGAGATAAAACAACCCGCTTCACTGTACATCGTTACTGATTTTGACAGAATCCTTCCGAGGAACCGGTTCGATGTATCTGATGATGTGATGTGCGCGGATGATGTCGACGAGAAGGCAAAGCTACGCGACCAATACCTTGAGTCTCAGCCGGACCAAGGTAGGGCAATTCTGTTTGGACCGGGCAATCCTCAGGTGTGAATGGCACCGGCTGTCGAAAAGATGACGACGAACTGGTTATTCGCAAACAATCAGACGAGAAAAAAATAAAATCCAACGAAGAATAACCTCGTTGGTACTCTCACATTCACAGAATAGCGACGAAGTGCATAAAGAAAATTCAAATAAAACAGACTAGCCGAAATACCTTTCAGGTGGCTGAATGAAAATGAGTGAAAACGAGGGAACCCTAAATCGTTTTACAACTCATATGGAAATTCCCCAGTGTTATCACCCGTAGACATACCCAAGATTTCGAACCTGGGTCTGACGCGAACAGAACATCGTGAGCACCATGATGCGATCCGCTTTAAAAAACTAAATCCTGAATGCGCCACAAGTAGAATACATGACGTTCAAGTGGGTGTACTACAATTCCGAGATTCAGATGAGAGCTATAATTGGTATAATTCTCGCCGTGCAGTGTTGCTGAATATCCACCTTTCGGGGTGTATAAAGCGACTTGACTCGACTAACCCATATTATAATGCATGATCTGAAAAGTATTCCGCTGACTCTGTATAGTTTTAAACAACCCGCTTTTAGAGGTACTTTGAACTTAGCAGACAATAGCTTATTGAGGGGAACATGCTACAAAATATTTAAAATAGGAATAGCTACCAGCACTAATCATGAAAAAGTTCCAAAACTGTGACCAAAAATAAACGTATACAGTATTTTAGGCAGTCATGTTGCACTTATCCAAACAGTGTACCGCTGAGTAACAGTGAAAGGCGATCAGCTAAATCGATGATTCTAGTAAATATTGAGCTTGACGGGCAGAAAAAGAAAACATACCTAATTCAGTTGATACGGACAGTCATTCGTTCGTTAATTACTTTCCTAAATGTTCAACTACACGTATCCCATCAGACTTTACCAGAATCCGGTAATTCTGTAACCGCGACCCACAATTCGTTATCCTCGACACACAAACCTCGAAATCAACGAATGTGGAAAAAATTTAATCTTTTGCAAAGGCTGATAATTCAAGGCTTCAAATAGCCGGGAAAAGCGGAAAACGATGAGCAATTAAAAGTGCATCCCCAATGAAACGAGTGAAATGGAACCCACCTGCTCCAGGAAGAAGCATGCAGGCAAATCTACTTTGCCTCGAACAACCGCTGTCACTTTAGGGAAATGTTCCACAGAAATGCCAGTGGTCAAGTAGAGAATTCCCGCTGTAGAATCCACAGCCCGACAAATAGCTGAATGCGAAAAAATGACGATAACCGTGTTAAGGCTGAACACGAAAAGTTGAATTTGGAATAGTTATTATTTGCGAATGCCGACGAGAATGTTTTACCATATTTACGTAAAAACGAACAGATAAAAGGCTAATGGTAATTGGCAACATCTTACGAAAACTATCACCAGGAGAAATTCATAGGGTAGTGAAAGGCACATTAAGAACACATTCTATACCGGAACAAAAGAAGCCATCTCCTTAAAATTACAGGAGTGGTGAACGGCTCATCAAAAAAACTTACCCAATCCAAGACATTCACAAACGGGATCAAACGGTACGACTGCAGACAGCCTGGAATTTGGACAGGGTTGAATCTAAATCCGATGTGAGAAAAGCGAGACCAACAGAGGTATATAGCTATTGTGCAAAATAATTGATTTTATTGCATGGAGCTGCACACAATGTGAATGAAAATAGAACGGTGATATGAACTGTCCTCGCCGTCTCGTCGTTATCAAGCTCGATACCACACCCATCCTGCTCGGATCTAGTATATTTCTCTGCTCCAAACATCAAGAAACGCCAGTTCTCATTTATCTCAGTAAATTTTCGGGGTCATGAGCTTACTTCCTTCACCTTATCCTCACACGAAAGTGTGAAGTAAAACAAACTGAAATTTTAGTAGCCCGAACAGAGGGAATGATCAGTGATCGTTTCTCCTGTAAGAAAACCATCAAATTTGAGTGAGTAATGGTGAAAAATAAACTCCGATATCGTAATGTACAGGTTTTAGGAGGTCGAACTCAGGTGATATGAATGATCTTTTAGGTCATATTTTTCCAAAATGAGAACACGCAATTATCAGGTTATTTTTAAACATTTCGAGCATATTCCACAGACTGGAGAGTTGTAAGTGTCAATGATGTACCGCAGGTACGAAAAATCGAGAGAGTAAGGACAGCGAAAGCTGCAGTGTACAATGAGAGGACGTACCACGCACAGTGCAGAGGTAATATGCAGCCGTCCGATTTGACACCATTTTCTACTCAGAACCGTATTCAGAAACCGACTACTTTGATGTTTGTCAGTAGCTAAGTTCTGCCTTCGCGTAATCTTTTATGCTTGTATGACTGAATGCATTAGCACGGTATCCACGGTAAATGATGGTAGATTCACGTTTGCAGCGAACTGCGAGAAATATGGCAACGCCTTTAGAGAATGATATTCCAACACCAGATTTGCAGTGTGAGTGACAATATGAAACCTAGTGAAAATCACAACTTTTCTGTAACGGGTTTTATATGCCTTCGGCGAACCTAAAAATGGGCCAAAGGGAGCGCATACTTCGGCATCAGAGTGATAAATGTCACTTCACCCTTTACCAGGGTTATTCTCAACGGACAGAAATAAACGAAATTTAACAGTTAACGTTTAAAATAAACTTACGGAGAACACTCTGCATCCTTTATTGTGATGCACGTCAAGGCTACTTTTGTATTGCGGTTTAGTCTTCGTCAAATGATAGCAGCGGCAATGTTTACCACAGAAAATAGGAACAACGCAAAATCTGAAGCTGCAGTAACATAAAAAGAGCGATCTGTTTTTCACTTGAAGTTGGACTACACCTTAACATGAAGATCACTCAGTGTATTTTTCAGCTGCTTTCACCTAAAGGTCATTTTCACAGAACATGGTTGCTACCATTATAAGAAGAACATTACTGAGGGGTTAATTTCAACCCAATGACCCGTCTACAACAGGGGTCATGAGTGCTGTTATATTTTATAGCTGTTAAGGTGGGAGAATATCTAAACCATCAAATGACAGAAAATGGTTTAGTCGAGGAATTCAACTAATGAATCCAGAGAAATTCATGACACTTTGTTCTGATCTAGTATTAAACTTTGCCAACATCCGAATCAATGTGCCCCACGACAATCTAATTTGACTTACATTAGCTTGCAATCTTCACGGTAACTTGTACCGATGAGAAGCGTTTCAAAAGGAAAAACGTGTAATATATATCGTACGTACGTAGCAGCGGTGAATTTTGCACAAATAAACTACTGACAGTCACTGAAGTCACAAGTACCACTTCTCCAGGAACGGATTTGTTATCCTGGTAACCACTGCTCAAAAAATCGCTCCAAGCCCACCTCACTAAAAGAGCCAGTGGATTTTGCAAAATCAATGATGACTACCACCGTCCTACGGGGTGGAACCAAACCGATGTAAGTTTGGGCAGGCCACATTAACCAAAGTCTGTGGGGCGCGATGACCAGAGCGATACAAGCATTGGTAGGTCAAGTCAGGTCAAGAAAAGCGTTATGCACCTGGAGAGTGAATTTTCAGTCGTTTGCGATTTTAACAGTGGATAGATAAAACCAATTGCAAACAAAATAGACAATATAAGAAATTCTACAGTTTCGTAAATGAGAGAAAAATTAGTGCGAGAGTTTTCCCCTGAGGTAGGTGAGAATATTCTGACGATTAACTAGTAACCGAGCTAGATATGGAATTACACTGTTCGGATATGTAGAAGTATGCGCAGGAAGGAGTTGATATTTGGAGTGAGGTTGGGGATTTGACAGGGCTTTCACGATACCTTGCTGCAGACAGAAAGTTTGTGGATATCCGCAAGTGTATATGCCACGAACAGCGGTGAAATAAGGTGACATGATGGAGGAACTAAAAGAATGTGCGCCATAACCTGTAAACCAGCCACAATGACGCTGAAGGATGGGTAAGCACTCAGCACGGCGCAACTGATGAGCAACGAGATTATCCATTGGTGAAACGTTGGGATGCCGCTTTGCTGGCTAAATAAACTAATGAGAACTATAAACAAACAGGTAATCACGTGTACGCAAACACAACGGGATCGGATATATTTCATCTCATAGATGTGCTATGCAACACATTCCCCTGATCCGTGTAACATACCTGATCGTAAACTAAATAACCAGTAAACTCGCTCTCTAAAAGTTGCTCCAAAGAACGAAATGGAGAATGGTATGAGTCATTATTTCCGCACCGAGTAGTTCAAAATCAGAAGTAAACTGATCCATAGTATTATGCGTAATAAATCAGGGATCATAGAGGCAGAACAAAACGCTCTGACAGCAGTGGAGCGCTACCTGGTAGCTAAGTAACCTCACCAAACGATTGTTTGATACGGTGTTGTTTCAAGCCTATAAACAATCCTGGCTCTAACCTAGACATAAGCCAGGAAACTCACCGCATCAGGGGGAACAGCACACAAAGCTACGATTGTCGCGTTGAGACATGCCATGACAGTTTCCAATGTCAATGGAAGCTGATATGCCGGAGAAGGAAATAGACCAGCGGCTGAACCCATGAGGCACACCGCTAATCGAAAAGAGTTCCCTTGAGGTTCGGTTGACGTGCGCATTTCATCGACATGCATTGGAGTAGTGCCGCTTTCTGGATTCGGGGTATCCAAAATAAGGGGATCGGCCACAGGTACATGATAGGGCAGACAATCCAGAAAGTGTGCCACTGGATGACCCAGTGGTGACGTCTTTGGACGACTTGGAAGGCTGGTGGGTGCGTCTTCCAAACCGGTCATGAAATATGCTAGCAGTGTTAAATCACGATGATCTGGTGCACCGTAACGATTCGCAGGCAAACTTGTGGACTTGTTTTGGATTCTGAAATGTGTAGTTCAGAAATGGATAAGTGCTAGAAGATCTAATAAGCCAGTTACATACAACGAACAACAGTATGAATAACAAGTACTTTTTTCTAACAAACTACAGCAAGCACAACTTTCACAAGACGAAACAGCAAGTCTCAACGACCACAACGTTGGGTTACTGCAAATCAGCAATTTCTGTACTGAGTTCTGTTTCTTATTTACAGATCGTCCAAAGCTGTTTACATCTCTCATTATCCGAATAAACCGTTGTCGTACGTTACAAGAAAAAAACAGTGACAAAGAAGCTCGTTTACCATAACTCATCTGCTCGCAAAACATTACAAGTTAAATCACGATGTTTCGTGAAAAAAATATGTATTACAAACAGAAACCACATTTCCGTTCCACGATCGGATGCCACTCGCACTTTAGTTAAGAGCGATGCTGTGGCCACTCTGGAAACGACCGGAATTCGTCCACATACCCCCCAAAAGTGGTCGTGAGGTCACTGTTTCTTCCAGAGCCGAGACTATGGTCGACAGATTGAGCACACTCTCCCACCTTATCGACCTTTGTGACCCCAGCTAATAGGCGCGATGACCGAATTGTGCCCAACACCCAGTAGCGGAACTGAAACGTAATTTTTCTGGCTATAATGAATGAATATCTAATAGAACATTACAATACAATTGTGACATGTTAACCAGGGAGTGGATCACTGAAAATCTTTTATTCTAAAACGAAATATAACTTTCCATACTTACTTATCTTTTACTTCCATGTGACTATCACCTAAAGGATAAGTCGGTTTGATGGACCACAACCAGTCCTAGAGATACCCGAGGGCAGGAGTACAAACGGAGTCCGCAGTACTTATTCCATAAATCACATTCACATACATTTAGACTTCAACAAAACTGATAATCGCAGTGTATCCCCATGTTCGTTATCGTGCGCCAACGCACGACTATTTTCTGCAGACTCTAAGCGTTCAACTTGCAAAAGGTCAGCGAAACAAACTGGGTGAACCTAGATACAGTATTCGGTATTTAATCACATCGAACGAGCCGAATTGGTGATACTTTTGGACTTTATAGCGTCCTCGATAATCACGAAGTCGCGACAAGCTGCACGGAAATTCTGTCGAAAATGTTTCCGGTGTGCTAATTATTCAAGTATAGCACTTTATTATCGCACTTCTCAATAAGACGAATAACCACATTTTTCAGCCCTTCGTAAATTGCCTTCTTTCTCGTGTGAAGCACGCCATCATGTTCTACGACTACTCACTAGGATTATTCATTCTTCCGCAAAAGCAAAGCGCATCTGAACCTCGATCAGTGAAGTCAGAACTAATGTGTATGTACACTGTGCGTTGATCGTAGTGATCAATTTTCTTTTCTCCTCCCTCAAAATATGTTCATTTCACTTTCCCTTTAAAAACTCCCATTTTATTTGCACAAATTTTGCGCTCGATCGCGGCCAACGAAGTTTATTTTACCGTATTTGGTTGTAGTGGGCTTATTTTTGACTCTATCGGGCAGTACTCCAAAGATAGTTTGCCTTGACAGTAGTCTTTGTGCAGCTTGCTCCTCCTTCCTTCCTTTTTTGAAGAACCTGGATACTACCATCTAGCACCAGGTTTATCACGAATCAGAACTCACAAGCATTAGATCATGCTTCTCCGTTATCACCTAAAATCAGCATATTTCTGCAATCTGTTTTCATTTTTTTAATTTCGGTTTGCCCCTTCAATTACAGTTTATTTGTCTAAACAGTCCCACAGAGCACATTTCAAATAGAACAAGGAGTGGCGAACAAGCTCGTTTTCAGTGATTCATCGTCTTGCCAAATACATCACAATAAATATTATGCTATTTATATATAAATCAGTATTCAACCATAAAAACGCAAACAAACGTTTTGGGAAAGGGAAAATAACCTCATGGGTTATCCGGGGCTAAGTTCATCTTGGGACCGGATGTTGAATTATCAATAATCACATAATTTTTAGGTCATCCGATAGTTGGGACCACTCGGAGTATTTGTTTACTTCACAAGCTCACCCACCGGAACCGATTTATGCTTTGAAAACCTTTCTATTTCGTCATTTTGATTGCGTAATCATCGGAGTTGAACTATTAAGCAGGAGAACCATTAGAGTTCTCAACCGGTCTTTAGCTCAGACAAACAGGCAGATCGAAGTGGAGGCCCGTTTATACGGATAGATTACGCCTCCACCATGTCTTAACGATTAGAAAGACAACTCGAGTGGAACTCCCAACTCGGGGGACCAGAAAACTGAACATTTTGCTATCTCTGATCCTTCAAGTATGGTCAGTTAAGGTGAGGAGGACAATCCTGTGTAGCTCGTTGGGTTCCACGGGTAAACAAGCCATCGCATCACGTCAAAGTACGTTGGTTTCGTTATGACTCCATTGTCGAAGGGTAGAAACAAATTTGGTGTATATTTCGTTATAATGCAAGAGATAAATGCGAATGAAATAGACTCCAGTTATGTTTCTGCCTCGCGTTTTAGTTGGGCGGCTTTGGTTTCTAACTGTTTCAATGAAGGAAGAGAAATACAAACTAGAACGCTGGAAGTAGCATATATCTGGAGAGGATTCAGATCGACTAAGGTTGAGGTGACTAAGTGCATCGGCGACACTGTTCACGATACTCAACAATATTATTCAGTGCCTATAAACCATCGATTACTCCGATCCTGAGGTCACCGATCAGGAAGCTCAATGCGACCTAATTGGTGGAGAGACCTGGTCAGGATTTCTGTACACCCATGCCAGGTCATAATTTGACGAACTTCGACTATTCCATTGATTGCCTCCCTCGGAAAACATTTCACACCCTGGCAGTCTGTTTGGTGACATGCTT